CCAGGTCCTCCTGATCTGAAATGGTTAAATAAGGAATGAGCTACAGTAGCCCAGTAAGGACATAACACTATATCACCGTCACAAAAGCAAAAGTTGGTAGAAAATCAAAACAACCAATACATTTATTTAAAATAAAACCATTTACCCTTTTTCTTACCATTGGAGAATTTATGGAAACAAATTATAGAAGCAATAATATCATACAGATCACAATTTCATGCATAATCAGTAACAAAGAACATATCATAAATTCGTATTCATTAACAATAAGTAATCATCATCGTTTCTCGTTTCACCAGCCTACTAGTATTCATGGGGATCCATAGGGGTGTCCCCGCTACACGTGAACCATTTTCCTTAACAATCTTAATTCTAGTGATGTCCCCATATTCTGTTCGGTATGAGCGCCAAGATATTAAACCTCAATACTCCGTCTCGTATGAGAGTGAAGCGGGCCGTCCTCATACCTTGTCCGGTATGAGTGCCAAATAACCGAGTCTTCATACCTCGTCCGGTATGAGACAACGTTCACGGTAGGGTTCCCTATGAACCCGGTCCGTCCACCATCTTCCAAGATATCTAGTGAGGCTGTCATCTTATCTATTTATCAGATCACATCCCATTGCTGTTTGTCCTTAGTCTCCGTCACCAAATCAAACATAAATACATAAACAAGTAACATGCATCCAACAATGCAATCATATCTTAGATTCCCAAAATCAAACAGTAGTTAAGTAAGACAGTAATACACGCATTTAAACCATACAATATATAAACCAGATATCATCATACTTTTAGACTGTACAATAAATCAACAGTAATCGACAGAAAATAATGTCCGATTTGGGCTCCATTAGCAATCCGTAATTAATCAAGCCCATCCATTTAATTTGTACAAAGGATCATATTATTATTTATTTGAACTTTATTTCCACGATAGGAAATAGGGTGAGAGGTTCTTACTTGATTTGACGCCGAAAATTAGATGGTTACTGCGCTTACGGGTGGTCCCTGGGTTCCTTGAATTTTCTTTCAGGAACTTAAACGCGCTTACGGTATCTATAAGTGTTCTAAATAAACCCAAAAATCAGTCCCAGGGCCTACTCGACCAATTTCAAAAATCCAGCACGGCGGCACCACCGCTCACGGCAGCGATCCGCCTCAGGTTGGCTGTTTTTGACCGAATTTAGTCAAACTTGCACCGGTTCCTTTGAGAAAATACACTTAGGGCCCTCGGTGGACGGAAAAAATATAGAAAACCAAAACTCACCGGCGGTGGGGCTCTCTGATGCGGCGGCTCCCCTCGGCTTACGTTGCAATTGTGTGTTTTGCTCCGGTCAACCTGTAGAGAAGGAAACGGTGATCACAACGGTGGAAAAATCACATCGAATGGTAATCGGGAAGGGCCTCATCGGAGACATTTTTTGAAACACCCCGCGGCGACGTTGCCGAGCTTTGGTAGCGTTTTCCAGTCAATTGGCCGGTTCTTTCACTCCGATTTGGCCATGAGTGGGTTTAAAATTGAATTTCATGTAAGAGGGAAAATTTTTATCTCGTTTGCTGGTCGGAAATTGCTCAGGTGCGGCGGCGGGTAACGGCAGTCGGCTCCCCAGCGGCTGGGCTGTCTTCTCCGGCGAGGGGCTCTGGCAGCTAGGGTTTGGGTTTGGGTGTGGATGGGGTTATTTATACCCATCTGCTTTTGATCTGGGTCATCCATCACTTTTAATCTGGACCATTCGATCACGATTAAATAGGTAGTGAATCTGGACCATTCATCATGATTCAATCTGAGCCGTTCGTGCGCAATTCAATCTGGGTCGTCCTTGCGCGATGCAATCTGGGCTGTCCTTGCGCGTTTTCAATCCGGGCCATCCGTGCGCACGGGAACGAATCTCAGTCGTTCGATCCACGCACATAGATCACCCACGTGGCTCCCCCCGCATGGCCTCCCGCGTCAGCGTCTCTGCCACCTGGCACGTCCTGGTTGGTCGGGGCTGCTAACCAGACAGCTGACATGGCGTAACTTTTCTAAATTACGTTTTGACCTTCGGTTTCTGATTTTTTTAAAAAAATACCCCTCAAAACCCAAAGTTTCACTCATTTTCCCCAAAATGAGTATACATATACTTTTCTCCGGCATTAGACCTATACTTAATTTACAATAAGTGGAAGTGGTAGAAATATTAGCATTGTTGCATGATTTGGAGTGCGCCATAAGCATGGGCATTAAGTGTAACAGCCCCGGAAATTTAGAATGGAATGTATATTAAAAATATCAAATGCGGAAGCGAAGTCAAAAATTCGATTAACATCCCTTACACTAAAACCAAAAAACGTGCTCACAATATAAAAGATCAAACTACCTAAAGGAGAAACTTGAAAGTAAAAGCTACAAATATGGCTATGGAGTCTTTAGGCGTCCCCTTCGTCGTCCTCCTGCGGAACTGGCTCGGGAACAAGGTCTTCCTGATCTGAAATGATTAAATAAGGAATGAGCTACACTAGCCCAGTAAAGACATCACGATATCTCACCGTCACGGAGGTAAAGGTGGGTAGAAAACACAAAAAGACCAATGGAGCATAATTTACAACAAAACCTTTTATCAATAATAAAACCTTTACTATTCACTTACCTCGGTGAAATTCATAAGTCAATATACGAAAACAATATCATCATCATCATCATCATCATGAAATCATATATAAACTGTATAACGTAATACTTATCAAGCCTTTCGTAATACAATCGTTACACAATATATTTTCCTCATTTACCAGCCCACTAGTATCCATGGGGATCCATAGGGGTCAGGCTACCCGTTAACCCTTAACACTTGAAATCATATTCCAGGGCCGTCCCCATACCCCGTCCGGTATGGGCGCCAAAACACATAAGATCTCCATACCCCGTCCGGTATGGGAGACCACAATCCCGGTAGGGTTCCCTACGGACCCGGTCCGTCCACCATCTCCCAAGATATCTAGTCAGGCTGACCACATTATACAATTACCCATTTACATAATCTTTCATTCTCTTTTTCCCTCAGTCAGCATTATCAATGCACATACAAACAAGCAAGACGATAATTTATGCCAAACAGACAACATACAGTATCAATATCCCAATCATTCAATCCATAATCAGTAAAATAGTAAAATATGCACACGGAACTATAAAATGAAAATATCAAACCTCATGCTGCATTTAAAACTGTAAAACAGGCCAAATAACAGTTAACCGATAAACACACTAGACTCGAGCTCCATTAGCGACCTTAAGCAATTTCATACATTCGTTGATTCATGAAATACCGTTTTATCATTTATTGAACTTTAAAACCATGATAGGAAATAGGGTGAGGGGTCCTACTTCGTTTCCGGGTCCGAACACGGCTTCACAGTGCGCTTGCAGCTGTCCCTAATTTCCCTAAATTTTCCTAGGAACTGAAACGCACTACTGGTACCTGCACGTGTTCCAAAAATCCCAAATTAGGCCCAGGGCCCCTTTCAGCCAATATCGCAATCCGGCACGGCGGCTCTGCCGTGCTCCGGCGACGGCGCCGCCGCTTGCGGCGGCGGTTCGCCTCGGGTTGGCCGTTTTCGGCCGTTTCCGACCGAATTCGGCCACACTCGCATTGGATCCTGCGATAAAACAACCCTACGGCCCTCGGGGGGCCGAAAATTTACGGAAAACTGAAGCTTAC